GTGAGTGAGTGAGTGAGCGAGCGGGGGCGGGCGGGCGGGCGGGCGGGCGGGCGGGCGTGTGGGTGGGTGGGTGGTTGAGTGAGTGAGTGAGTGAGTGAGTGAGTGAGTGAGCGAGCGAGTTTGAGTGTGTGTGTGGGTGCGTTGGTGGGTGGATGTGTGCCTGTGTGCCTGTGTGCGTGCGTGCGCGAGTGCTAATGTATATGTGTATACAATCCTGCGTGTAACTGAGAATAATACATAGGATTTTATAAAATAACCCATTTTTATCAAGCAGGCTGTGCATGCAAAAGCTGCTAATGGTGAAGTGGAGGAGACTGAAAATGTGGTGAGTTATGGAGATGGTCTCCGGTCTGTAAGAAGAGCTGGGCCGCTGACTGCTAGTGCATACACAACAAATATATACAGGCGTAACTAACATTAACGATACGTTGACATGCATGTAAACAAATAGATGATGATATAATTAATAAACTTTATTTGTGCACTCATCATTGTATGATACATAATGATTTTTACAGCTTATTCTGATAATAGAATACATGTATATGAGAGATCTCCAATATATGTGGGCTATCCAATATATGTGGGCTATCCAAAGTATATGAGAAATGAAATGTACGCGAGATGTCCAATATAATTATGTAAGATATCCAATATATGTGAGACATCCATTATATGTAAGATATACAATATATGTGACATATCCAATATATGTAAGATATCCAATATATGTTATAAGATATACAATATATGTGAGATATCCAATATATGATATCCAATATGAGACATCCATTAAATGTAAGATATCCAATATATGTGACATATCCAATATATGTAAGATATCCAATATATGTTAGATATCCAATATATGTGAGATATCTAATATATGTGAGATATACATATATGTGAGATATCCAATATATGTTAGATATACAATATATATGAGATATCCAATATATGTGAGATATCCAATATATGTGAGATATACAATATATGTGAGATATCCAATATATGTGAGATATCCAATATATGTGAGATATCCAATATATGTGAGATATCCAACATATATGAGATATCAAATATATGTGAGATATCCAATATATGTGAGATATCCAATATATGTCCAATATATGTGAGATATCCAATATATATGAGATATCCAATATATGTAAGATACAATACATCCTACACATACTAACTTGTACATACATCATACATGTATGTAAGATAGCCAATGCATGTGAGATATCCAATATATGTGATATATACAATATTGGAGAGATATCCAATATATGTGTGACATCCAAAACATGTGAGATATCTGATATATGTGAGATATCCAATATATGTGGGATATACCAAAATACTTGAGATATAAACATTTGTGATGTATGCTATACATAAGACACATTCAATTTGATGGTTATACAACATATTTGAGACACATAATGTCAAATGAATCTACAAAATCCTGAAAATAGTTCATTCAAGAGAAATAACAACATATTTCAGGGCTACTGATCTTTTATTGTGGCTATTTGAAATTAATGCATCGTTACGATCCTGATTACAAATGCGACGGAGGAAATGATTATAGTAATTCCAGTTTGAGTGTTAAATCTTATATATATAACATTTTACCAGCGTATGTAAATCACAACAGATCGTAAAAATGTTATTAAGACCCAAGAAACAATTCGAATTACTTCCGTGTTATATTCGTTTAGTACGTATGTTCATCAATTAATGTCTCATCTCAATATTGCACAAACGTACGTAAGATTGTGTATTTTGGCAATGGGATGAATTTGATCTGAGAATTAATTTGAGAATTGTTTGTTCACATCGACAGATAAAAATATGCTGTTATTTCTCGACAGGTCAACAGATCCAACAGATCGATTTATCTAATAGATTGACATATACAAAACATCGACATATGCGATAGATCGATATATCCGAAGGACTGACAGAAACAGTAGAGTACATTTTCGACAGATCAATAGATCGATATATCCGAAGGACTGACAGAAACAGTAGAATACATTTTCGATAGATCAATAGATCGATATTCCGGCACATGTAGATCACCGTGACAGATATCATACCCAACAAACCGATAGATGGATGAAACGTTGAAAAACACGTCATGTATGTGGACACGCTTGCATCCCAAGTGCGAATTCTCTAACTTTGAAAGAGGAAACAAAGCCGTGAGGAAACAGAATAACCTGTCCACTTCACAAGACTGGCAATATACATGATCCTGATACTATAAAGAGTATCCCTTACAGACTGTAAGGTGTAAGGCACCTGTTCTGAAGAAAAGGCTGCAAAATTGGTGCAATCAAACCTAAATTTTATCGGAAACTCAAGTTGGCTACTATTCTATCATAGACCATATTTTTTATCCTCAAGGTTTGTTACAGAAATATTTATTCAAAACAAATGGAAGGATTTGTTGTATATTCGTTGATTTCCAAAAAAGCATTTGACAGTGTAAATCGTGAAGTTTCATTCTAGAATCTAGTTAATATGGTTATTAGAGGTAAGCTGTTTAACTTTGTTGTTTCAATGATTCCAATCTGTCAACTTGATTCCGGACGGAGATTGAATTGAAAGAGTATTTCAGATGTAATACAGGCACACGTCAGGGTTCCATATTAAGCCCCTTTATATTTCTCATTTTCATAATCCAATTACTTAAAACGTTCGATAGAGATTGTGGAAAAGGTATACTTATTTCAAGTGAATATCCTAGTGTTGCAGTTCTATACTTTGCATCCTTACAGATGTTTCAGGAGTATCTGATGCATCAGTGCAGTTACAACATAATTATTATGCTTGAACAGTTTTGTGTCAGTGCTGGTATGACTATTAACTTCAATAAAACAGCAATAATGGTATTCTGTAACCGTGGACACCTTCGTCATTGTGAAAGGTGGTACATCAAGAGGGAAAGAATAGATGTTTCTGTTTACAGGTATTTGGGCGTTGGGTTTACGCATACACTTTTCTGGACCATGGCACAGTCTAGCTTACACCACTAGCCCAGAAGGCTTGCATGTCATTATAACTGTCCAGAGAAATTTCGAGCCGGCTCATGAACAGATATATTTAGAATCTTCGATGCAGCTATTGTACTATGGCTGGCTATCGATATGTATCATAGAGATCGATCATTGTTAAATGAATATCGAATTATTATCACTGAATATTGGAGAATAAACTTTGATTAATAAAATTAACAACAAATCTAAAGAAATCAACGCATTTCACATCAGTGGTGAGTGGTTACATATACTACTCACACTTTGCTAAGGATCACAAAAGTTCACAACTATTTAAACGTAGATATATAATTTGAATTTTAATCCATTTAAAACTGGATAAATAATAATATGGTAACCCCTCTTTGGGCAAACAGTCACTTTAATCCAACCTTATGCACTTGATGCATGAGTAACCATAACAATGGTTTTCATGGCACCAACCAACCATTTTGCAAATCATGGAACGAGTCATTGACAAATAAACAACACCTGTCAATAGCAGGTTACGGATCCACAAGATGCAGTGACATACTGAAACCTAGGATCCATGCTTACAATAAGCTCAGGTATTTAAACCAAATTTGACCTCACATAATAGTTTTCCGTTGAATCCATGATTTGATCCTTATTAAAGTGTGAATAGTATATTTAGAGTACACATTTGTGTATTCATAAATATTTAGACCTGGATTACCAACAAAACGCCTTCCTGAACACACTTTAGGAGCCGCCCATGAACAAAGATTTCTGAGTAAATTTACGAGTTATTTCATCACAATTGTTTATTTACGATATTATCGATTACACAATGTTAATATCGATAATCATCAATAACGATTCTCATCAACGATATTTCCAATTATCGTCATTATTAGCCAGCCCTATATTGTATCTATACTCTGGTATTGGTCTGAGAGTTGAGGTACAAACCTTTGAACATTTATTGAAAATGTTTAGATATATTTTTGAAGGGTCCAATTGTAAATACCTGTCAAAGTGTGACAAGTACTGGCGTAGACTGTTCCAGTTGGATACCTGGAGATTGTCAGTGTTATACGTGTATAATGTTAACATCTCTGGATGATGTTGCAGGGACTACTTGGTGTTCATGTACAAGAAGTATTTATGCCAGCATTGATTTGGTGATGCATTGCTCTCCCAAGATATTTGAGAAGTAAATGTCTTCATATCGATGTTCAAGCAAATATTGTATGATTGTCGTTCTGAAGATGGGTGTTATACAGTCCAAATGTGTTCAGTGTGTGAGTTGTATGGTGAAAACAATGTTAAATGTGGACATATATGTTTGAGGATATCTGCTGTAAATATGGAAAATTCCATGGATCGCTTTACATTTAATAACTTTAGACCAGCTGTACAGACATGAAGGCATAATAACATTAATTATGCTGATTTCTAATTTGTAATTAATTGTACTCATGATAATATATCCCTTGTAGAATCCGAATTCCATGTACCACTGTGTACCTCAAAATTTAATGTTTATACGAACGGACGATTCGTATACAGACGATTGATCATTAAGCAACTTGTCAGAATACTTGACTCTGATGTCCCGTGAAAAACTTTATATCCATTCTGAATTAACAAAAAATGAAACAAGCGTGAAAAAAGTACGTCAGAGGTTGTGTGTGATTTCGACCTTGGACACACTAAGCATAATGACGCTGAAAGAATTTGCATCTTTTCCACGTCACTAAGCACAGTGACGCTGAAAGTATTTGCGTCCTTTCTACGTCACTAAGCACATTGACGCTGAAAGTATTTGCGTCCTTTCCACGTCACTAAGCACAGTGACGCTGAAAGTATTTGCATCAAATCCACGTCACTAAGTACAGTGACCTGAAGGTATTTGCGTCCTTTCCACGTCACTAAGCAGTGACGCATTGCATCAAATCCACGTCACTAAGTACAGTGACCTGAAGGTATTTGCGTCCTTTCCACGTCACTAAGCACAGTGACGCTGAAAGTATTTGCATCAAATCCACGTCACTAAGTACAGTGACCTGAAGGTATTTGCGTCCTTTCCACGTCACTAAGCACAATGACGCTGAAAGTATTTGCGTCCTTTCCACGTCACTAAGCACAATGACGCTGATAGTATTTGCGTGCTTTCCACGTCACTAAGCACAGTGACGCTGATAGTATTTGCATCCCGTCCACGCTGACCATTTGGAGGCTGGAACTTCAGTTTTACTAACTGCTGAAAGGTAACACTTGCCGCTCCAGAGCTCGAAGGTCTTGCAGATGAAGGACGAGGCCTTCAAGCAGTAGTCTCTGCAAGCGCTGTAGGTGTTGACGCTTTTAACGGCGTTGTTGTAGCCAGAAATGCAGTAGGTGGTTGATTGGTGGCTGAAGTCAGTACCGTAGTTGCTGCATGCTGAAAACATAACTTCAGTGAGTGAGTTTAGTTTTACGATACCTTTAGCAATATTTCAAATTGGCGACTGACGCCCAAGGTTTCAATAAAGGAAGTAAACGTGTAGGTTTCGCCTAACTGACACGCCGCGATATGCAATGTTTGGAGCTAGATCTTTTGGTGAAGCAGGTCCAGTTCTCTGGAGCAGAATACCTCATCACCCAAGATCAGAACAACAGCTTTCCACTTTCAAAGCCCAGCTAAAGACTCACTTATACAGAGAAGCAGTCAATCTGTAACTGTTGCCTGAGGTATTTTTTCCTGGAACTGATGCGCTTTTGAGCAGCTTCTGCTGGATTCTAGCGCTCTATAAATGTTTATATATATACTTCCCATCTAAAGTTTAGACTCATTCTTAAAACACTCACTATATGTTATGTACATATATATGGTTACACGAACACAACCATTATTGGCATGAGTATATCATATAGAGGTTACTAGGCTCATGTCGCAAAATAACCTCTATTACTAATACCAGCTTTGCATTTGATACGTCATATCTCAAAACATACGGTTTCTATTGTATTAGTTTCCGTAGCATTTGGTAATAGACAACACAATGAGTAATGCTGTTACTGGTGACGCAGGTGCCGGAAGTGTTGTCGTAGCTGTAGCCAACGTCACAGTCGCACAGGCCTGAGGAGCAGATGAAGTTGTCTCGGATACAGTCTGAAGTCTGTGTACATATTTGTCCTGGAACAAAATGGGATGTCGTAAACGGATCGGTGAGTAGATGGTGGGTGGAGAGCCTAAACTACATGAATATAAGTTATAACATGTAAAAACCTTGTGTTTTTTTCAATAGCTCTTTGAAAATACTGTACGTAACCGCTTCAACAGCATACGACTGGAAGCAATAATATATCCGTCGTCAAGGCAACGAATATTCGACGTTTTCTGTAAGCACTGCAACTGAAGCTCCTTACAGCGAAACGGCCTTCTCAGTATTTCAAGTTCATAATTGATGGAATCGGGTGTCGCTTTCAATAAAGTAGATGTTGATTGATTGAAACATATTTTATTCAATTAAGAAACGGATTGGGCACAAGTTATCCAACTTAAATAAGCCCTCTCCACATAGTTACAAGTGTATATTACCAAACAGTTCAACAAGAGGCAGACAAAGGGTATAGATATGTACAGACAGAGTTATTTAAATCGTTTAGTGTTATGGATGTAGATATGTACACTTTTAAAAACATTCTGATTTTCGCTAAGCGAGAGACCTGCATTGCCATTTAAGATGAGATTAATATCAATACATGCTCTATTATTCACTATATTTTCTAAAGAGGTTAACATTTGTTCTCTTTGAATTATATATAATGGACATTCAAGAAAATAATGAAAAGCATTTTCACAATTATGGCCACACTGACAAAGTGCATCATTTCTAACATTAATTCTGAATAAATCATAGTTAAGTGTACTTGTCATATATCTTAATCTTGTATGCAAAACATTTAGTTTCCTTTTCCCATATGAGAAATATACGGGTGCACATTTTTGTTTCACATGACCTGCAGTTTTTAAAGACACAACAGATTTACTGTTTCTGATAGCTAAGGGGATGTTATTCCACAGTTTAATTGTTGATGAAAAAAGGATAGAGTCGAATAGCGTAGTCTTGTACACGGTTGAGTGTAATTACTGGAGTTTCTTAATTCATAATTTGTTCGACTACCTACTACAGGAGGGAGTACATCATCAAGAAAACTTGGAGCAAGGCCTGTATGTATCTTATAAAATAACGATATTTTTTTCACCCTTCTTCTCTCAGATAGTAAATCCCATCTCGTTTCAAAGTATAATGATCTAGAAGAAGCATATCTCTGCAGACCAGTAACTATACGAGCCGCTTCAAGTTGTAACTTTTCTAATCTATTAGATTCTTCAATAGAACACCCGTCCCATACTTCAGATGCGTACTCGAAATGTGGTCTTTTGAATACAGTATATATGCTTGACAATGTTGTTCTATTCAGGAGAAACGTCAACTTTCGAAATGCTCCAATCATTTTAGAAGTCTTTTTAACAATACTTTCAATATGATGGTGCCAACCCCCATTACATGAAAATGTTAGTCCCAAATGTTTATGAAAGTCAACTGGTTTTACATGACAATTGTCAAATTTCAAATTAATGTCAGTTTGGCCATCTTTCGTCGTAAATAGCATAGCTTCCGTTTTGTCCGGATTATAAGAAATTAGCCAGTCCTTTGCCAAATTACATAATATTTGTAGATTTTCTTTCATTATTCTTTCCATCAACTGCTTTTCTTTTGACAAGGCTCCCAGTGACGTGTCGTCAGCGAAAAGCCGAGTTATACAATGTAGTTTATCTGCTATCTCATTTACATACACAATGAAAAGAAAGGGACCTAAAACTGATCCCTGTGGAACTCCTGCTTTTAAAACCAAAGGCTTAGATAACGAGCCGTGAACAGAAACTGATTGATTGCGACCACTTACATAACTATCAAACCAATCAAGTAACTTTCCACTTACTCCAGTACCTCTCCAATTTAAGCATAAGCCCTCTGTGCCAAACTCTATCAAAGGCCTTAGATACATCACAAAAGACTATACAATAGTGTTCTTTGTTATCTAGTGATATACAGATTTGGTTATAAATTTCAACAAGTTGTTGTCCAGTAGAGTGGCCTCTCCGGAATCCACATTGATATTTATATAACAAATCATTTGAAATGAAGAAATTGTAAATATGTTTAAATACAACTCTTTCAAACAGCTTCCCAACACAACTTATAAGTGAAATAGGGCGATAATTTGATACAATTGAGTGATCACCCTTCTTGAATAGGGGCATAACATTTGCATATTTCCATTGGCTAGGATATACTGATAAATTAAATAACATGTTAAATAATATGCACAGTACTGGGCTTATAGACTCGACCGTTTTTCTGATGACAAATCTGGTCTGGTCCAGCAGCTTTCTTGAGAGGTAGACATTTAATTATGTCGGAGATCTCATTAACTTCTATTATAATGTTATCTATAACGGCATCCGTGCGCCTGTCAAAATGTGGTATAGATTTGTTATCTGCACCAGTCAGATTAGCTACAGATTCGAAATATTGATTTAGCATGTTGGCTTTATCTACATCTGAATAAGCTGATGGACTTTCCTCAATAACACTTCTTTTTAGAGCGGGAATAGTAGAAGCGGAACCTGACGTCTTGATCAAACCGCGTAATATTTTCCAATATGATGATTTATTTTCTCCATAAAGTTCGAATAAAAACTCATCAAGATTAGAATAAAAATGTTCTTTTGCATAACATTTCATGTTATTAACGTTATTTCGTTGTTTTTGGTACTTCAAAATATCAGACTCTTTCTGTGTTCTGATGGCTCTTTTCCGTAGTCGATCCCGCTTCCTACTTTCACGTCTAATATTTGAATCATACCATGGTTTGTCATTAGGTCTTATCATCACAATTCTAGAAGGAATACATTGTTTGGTATAATCATTAAAACGTTCATAAAATGCATAGCAAGTATCATCAATATTAGAACAGTCACTAAACAATGACAACCAATCAGTATTGCTAATAAGTGCGTTCAGCTTCTCATAGTCACAATCTTTGTAACACCAGACCTTTCTAGGATATGCAATCTTAGTTGATACATACACATCTAGGCTGACAAACGTGCCTTTGTGATCACTTATAGTTCTGTCAAAATCGATAACACCACTTTCTACAACCTCAACATCATCACTGACTATAATTGGATCTGGTAGTGTGCTGGTTGTCCTCGTCACCCTAGTAGGTTCTGTTATAACGTTACATAAGATTTTTCTGTTTAGGATATCTGTTAAATTAAGTTTAGATACAGAAAGTAGATTTTCATTCAAATCACCAACAATAGTAACTTTACTTGAAATATCTAAAGCACCTTCGATACTATTATCGAATCTTCCCCAAAAATTAGATGTATTACTTTCTGGTCTATAAACGGTACATAAGATGAGTGGTTTTGTGGAAGCGATAATTTAACCCAAATGGACTCATCAAATGTTTGCAGACGAAAACACAAAAGCAATATGAGTTTAGCACGCACAAAATGACCAAGCATAGTTATTTTGCAATGTGATTACAGTGACGACCATGTTGGTGGTGAGGTCGCTGAATGGATTGATGAATGTCATCGAATCTCGATCGCATAGATCCATGATCCCGGTGGCAATCACTGGATTGTCTGACCTGATTACTTACAGACGCCGTCATCAAGCTGGAATATTGATCACCGCAGCGTTAAACAACAAACACAAACAATGCGTCTTGATTTTATGTCCCTTTCCCACGGCAGGATCCGCTGGATGTATGATTTCAAAATGCAGATTCACCTTTAATATGTCCTTGCTCTTTCAACCACAGGGGATCTCAAGACCATACCCAAATATTTTTCCCTTGAGACCTTACTGGAATCCCATTCCATGAAATAAAAGGAAGTTTAACTTCATGATCAGAGACGCGTTACACCTAAGTGTCATGTTCGTTGCCATCCACTTTTATCTGATAAATTGCATCGTGTTTGGATTTCTTTATGTTAAACGAACAGGCCTCTCAAAATACTGCTCAGACTAACAGAATACAATATGCTTTCCTACGCACCAAAAAAGAATGACACCCGATAAGAGGGCACACAAGAGATCAGCAAAGCCGATCAAAGCAAGTTAATCCATTGTTGTATTGTTAAATGCCTATTGGTGTGGAACTTAGCCCCCAGGCTCTGATCGATACAGCTGTCTGTACACGAAGTCATTTCAGACATCAGAAGCATTTTGCACTTATGCTGGAACCTTGTAGATTTCCAATTAATTTTTTTGTCAGCTGCCGCAAAACAAACTTACAAAAGCACGAAACATACACAAATCATACTTGACTAGACTGACAGTCGATAACTACGGAAACCTACTGGTGCCAAGTCAGTAGCATAATTTTTTTTAATCAGAATCACAATTGTTAAATGACGAAAGAGTACTCGGAATTTCGGGGTAATGAAAGAGAAAAAAAGAGAAAAGAAACATCGAATGAAGGTGTGCTAGTGGGCAAGTCGATTGTAAGTACCACCAGGCTCCGCCGCAGACCTCTGTCCAGTAAGAATGGATTCTTCCGTCAGCTGTCCAAAAGCAGGGAGTTAACACTTTTAACTTAAAATAGGAAGGTTCACATCAATATATCCTGTCTTTTTCCCCCCACTTACCCCTACACACACACACACACACACAGTTTCATGTGTTTCACTTTCAAATTCCATTCAAAGTTCAAAAGACAGTTTGGAAGTCAGAAAAGATCCTTTGACATACAAAGACCAGGATGCTTTCCTTTGATACATTGAAATCAAACCCTTACCTTTGATTGCTTTCGGGTTGCAGGTCACACCGTCTCCTTCGTACATGTCGTTACAGCGGCATGTGTAGGACCCTTGACTGTTGGTGCAGTCGGCGTTGACGTGACAGACGCCGGGGGTACTACACTCGTTATTGTCTGAAATACAGGCAATACAGCCACTGTAGTCGATATGTTTTAAGCCACGACAGGCAACAGGGCCGGCACAGTCAATATAGTTAGTACAGTCAATACAGTCAAGACATTCCATATAGTCAATACATTCAATATAGTCAATATATTCAATACAGTCAATATATTCCATACAGTCAATGCAGTCAACACATTCCATACAGTCAATATATTCCATACAGTAAATACAGTCAATATTCCATAAAGTCAATACATTCCATAAAGTCAATACATATTCCATACAGTCATTGCAGTCAACACATTACATACAGTCAATAAAGTCAATATATTCCATACAGTCAATACCGCCAATATATTCCATACAGTCATTGCAGTCAACACATTACATACAGTCAATAAAGTCAATATATTCCATACAGTCAATACTGTCAATATATTCCATACAGTCATTGCAGTCAACACATTACATACAGTCAATACAGTCAATACATTACATATAGTCAATATATTCCATACAGTCATTGCAGTCAACACATTACATACAGTCAATACATTACATACAGTCAATACAGTCAATATATTCCATACAGTCAATACCGTCAATATATTCCATACAGTCATTGCAGTCAACACATTACATACAGTCAATACAGTCAATACATTACATACAGTCAATATATTCCATACAGTCATTGCAGTCAACACATTACATACAGTCAACACATTACATACAGTCAATACAGTCAATACAGTCAGTATATATATTCCATACAGTCACATTACATACAGTCAATCATTCCATACAGTCAGTCAACACATTTACAACACAGTCCATACAGTCACCGCAGTCAACACATTACATACAGTCAATACATTACATACAGTCAATACAGTCAATACATTACATACAGTCAATATATTCCATACAGTCATTGTAGTCAACACATTACATACAGTCAATACATTCCATACAGTCAATACAGTCAATACATTCCATACAGTCAGTGCAGGCAATACATTCCATACAGTCAATATAGTCAATATATTCCATACAGTCAATACAGTCAATATATTCCCTGCAGTCAAAGCGTTTTGTGTTAAAACATTACCCAAATGAAAACACACGAGTGTAAATGATTTTAGCAGATTTTTAGTAAACTCGAAAGTTCCCTCAGGCACACATGGTTACATATATATTTACATATATTTACTAGCACATTTGACACAGTTTTCAATATTAAAACACTGTTGTTTACCCGCTAGCAAATGCCAACACAAAGACGTACAAACTCACCAACACAATACGCGATGTATTCTTCATTACAGGCCAGGATTAGTCTGAATGGATACCGAGCATCGTCGATGTACTATGCAACTCTTTCATTAAAAGTATGGTAAAAACCAATCCGTATTTTCAACACTAATTGTTAGATGTATCCAACCCTAATACACGCCCATGTTTTATGATTGTCACTAAACGAAGTACACAAATTATGGTTATTCGATGGAAATGTATTTGCTAAACTCGACAACTGTTTTAATATTGTTTTTGCTGACGTTTGTAGTATTTTTTATCCAATCCGATCGTAAAGTTTATTGTTTAGTTTGCTCAGCAGAATATTTGTTTGTTCTTCCTTAAAACCTTCACTCAGCAGTAATGGAACAAAATGACACCCGTCTGTAAATAATGGCGTCAAGACCAGGTAAATTGTCCATCGATTTCATGAACAGTTTCCCACGCAATGACACAAAGTCAGCCGCCTGGCAAATCAATTAGCTCAACCCGTAGGACAACACACTGCTTTCCTGGTGTAGACGATAGAGCATCAGCTCGCATACCAGAAGGTCGGGATCGATCACCAGGTCGTCATAAATACATATGAAACACGTGGTTTCTTCTGATTTACAACGCCCCAACTCAAAAACAAATATCAAAGAATGGTCAAAAATATATTTATTTATATTTGTTTGCAAGTTCATTCGCCTTTATCAACAAAACAGATTTAACCATTTTTAGCTTCCATTTAAAAATAATAACCTTAACTGAATTATCGGTCTGCGTAGATGTTTTCCAGAGCCCTTGGACAAAACAATACTATCAGTAAACAGTAGAATAGAATTTGCAGTAGTTTCAGACTTTTTTACTTTGAACAAACCCATCGTGTTATCTGCGTGTTATCTGTCCAACACAGAAGCAAATATATGAAGGTGGCTTGCAAATAATTGAGTATACACCAGACAATCCAGTGATCGGTTTTGTGAGCAACGATCAATGCCGTTATGTGAATCTTAACAAAAGGTGGGGATAGGAGATAACAACTAAAATTAACAATAAACATCATTTGTACCATGATTAAGGTGAATATTTCACCTGGTAAACGTCAAATGCATTACAAAACATTCAATCGTAGCATCATACGACCATTATGTAGTATTCTTACAATAGCAGTGAATGAGTGAGTATGGTTTTACGCCGCTTTTAGCAATATTCCAGCAATATCACAGCGGCGGACACTAGAAATGGGCTTCATACATTGTACCCATGTAGGGAATCGAACCAGGGCCTTCGGCGTGACGAGCGAACGCTTTAACCTCTAGGCTACCACACGTTCGCCATTACAAAAGTAACGCAACGTACCTGCGCATGTGTTTCCGTCGCCATTAAAGCCAGGTTTACACGCACACGAGTAGGACCCGACAATGTTGGTGCACTCTGCATTTGGGTCACAGTTGTTGGATCCTGTGTCACACTCGTTCTCGTCTGAAAAACAACAAAACGCAAACAGCTAACCCACAGGAGACAATCGAAGCTGAACCAGACAAGGATTTGTCTGAATGAACAACAATATGTACCAACGCAGCATCGTATCCCAATGAAACATTGCGTAGATCGATGCTCATGCTGTTGATCCCTGGATTCTCTGGTCAAAACTCGAATATTTACAGACCGCCGCCATAAAGCTGAAATATTGCTGAGAGCGGTGTTAAACAACAAACCAACAAACCAACCAACGTTAAGAAATTGAATTCTGCGCTTCGTGATTATGTTACCCTCTCTATGGGTCCGAATCCTGGATCGGTCTCAACTAAAATAAGTGCTAGAATCTGTAAGAGAGCTAATCTCAAATATAACCTATGTTACATTTGACCACTTTATAAAAGGCATTGTGTATTCCTAGCTTACACAAGGTACATTTGAGAAGCTGTGGTGGCTGAGTGGGATAGACCGCTGGTTTTGTGTGCTTCAGATTATGTGCATTATTCAGAGTGTGGGTTTGAATCCCGGATGGAACTGAACCCCCCAAAGTATTTAACATCGTACTTTACTTAGACAAAATAATCCGATATAAGACATATACACATTTACCCAGCACTACCAACGTTCTATGTGATAAATAAGAAAGCACTACAAGATGCTTTTAAAACCTAATTCCGTATATTAAAACGATACCTGTAGCGTACTTTATTCTAATTAAAATACCAAAGAAAAACAAACAAAAATAACCCCAAAACGACAACAACAAAAAAACAACGAAATTGATATTCGATAACTATTTACTTGCAATCTGAAACAAAACACAAAACGTGAATATCAACAATGCCGGAAAATATGGTTACCATGACTACTCTACCAATCTGATGATCAGTTCTCAAACAACGTTTGTTGTGATTATATCAACCACCGCTGGCGACCACTGTACTGGTTTAGCCTCCAATCTCCTCGCTATGGTAATCAAGCGTAATTTCCTGCAGATTTTGAACAGGGGGGTTTCTAGCTCGAACTTCGCGTCCAAGACAGCCCCAGATATATTCGATAGGGTTCATGTCGGGGTTCCGCGTGGGCCATTGTATCGTCTCGATGTCTTTTTTCCGAAAATGGTCTCAAGAATGGTGCGTGTTGTAGGCATCATCATCGTACAACTGGCAAATGATGGTCATCAAAATGTGGCACAAAATGTATCAAGTACTTCCGGTTGATAAAGCTGACAATTGAGTGTCCAAAATACTGTAACGAGACGCAATCTGCAGTCATACGAAATGCAACCCCACATCCACAGCTAAGATTTAGCTGCATGGATCATCAGTTGGTTATATCGCTCGTTACGACGTCTGAATACTCGACAGCGGTCGCCGGTAACGCTTAGAATGTAGCGACTTTCATCAGACCATGGAACCCTACACCATGTTTTCATGGAGCCTGCACCACGCTTGACATTCCTGCCTGTGCCGATATGTGAGGATGAGACGTCTGATCGGATGACATGCCCTCAGACCAGTATATATTCCCCGTTATAAAACACATAGAGAAACTTTGTTAGCTAACATAAGTGATATTTTACAAAATATATATTTACCAGATATATGTCTTATTTTATATAGCAATGCAGGCCTTTCAATTAAAGTAAATCACAATATCATGTCTATCGTTAATCAAACTAAACGATTTCTCTGTTCATCTTAAACTGTTATATTCTCAAACTCAAGATCTCTCATTTGTATCTTCTCTGTTCTCTGTTTTATGCATATGTAATTCATATCATGTAAATATAATTGTTGTAAATATTGGGAGAGGGATTCATTAAGTTGGATAACTTGTGCCCAATCCTTTTCTTCAATGAATAAAATATGTGTAAATAGAAAATCCCACTCTCCATTGCCGGGGCAGTTCTTCCGCATAAGCCAAGGTCCTCCGTTTTCCCAGACGAAGTAGGACTCGGTCATCACGAACCTTGGTCTTCCAGGACGATCCAGGACCTCACCGATAGCCACGTGCTTCCTGACAGCTCGACGAATAATCGTGTGGTTAATGTTCAAGTCACCACCGATATTGTGTCAGGACATCCCCGAATTTATAGTACTAATCAGTTAAAAAAACCTGTAGTCCGCATCTTGCATATATGACATGTATAC